AGAACTAGAGTATTGAGATGCTACGTGTTCTCTGTCCTGTTGTATAGAGTTGAGGCCTGGACAATTACAGAGGCGACAGAGAAAAGACTCATTAACTTTGAAATGTGGTGTTACCAAAGAATGTGGAAAATATCTTGGACACAATACATAACAAATGCGGAAACGCTACGAAGAATGAAAAAAGATAAAGAAATACTCAACACTATAAAGAAAAGAAAAATGAGCTACTTTGGTCACATACTAAGAAACAATTAATACGAATTGATGCGTCTGGTCATAAAAGGGAAGGTGGAAGGCAAAAGAGGATCGGGCAGAAGACCACGTCCTGGTTGAAGAATCTGAGACATTGGAGTGGGAAAACGTCAATAGAACTTTTCAGAACGGCTGCAGATAGAGTCAAATGGGCCATGATGATCGCCAACGTCCTTAGGGATTGGGCACGTTAAGAAGAAGAGTTTTATTTTTGTATTTCTCGAGGCAGTACAAACACCAAACTTTAAAAAAAAATGGCATGTCTTAGATGAGGTGGTCCAGGCCATCAACACGTTTTGAAATAACAGGCAATGAGCCAATAAAGGAAACATCAATTCTCGTTTTAGGTAAGATTCATTGTTTAGGTAAGACTGGAGGACCAATCATTCAAATATTCATTCATTCATTTAAATATATATGAATAAAAAAATCATTTATGAAAATTATATTTTGGTAAATGTCATAAATTTATACATAAAATTTATTTTAATTTTAATTCATGTCATCGGTATACTTTCAATTAAGTATAGATAAGTTAAAGACTATACTGTAATAATTGCACTAATATTTATCCATTGTGAAAGTTATGTTTTACAATAGTAGTTGTTATTTTAAAAGATAGATCAATAGTACCCATACAGTATGAAAATGATCTATATTATATAATATAATAATAATTCAGTAATGCTTTTAGTTGTTATTAGAAGATTATGGATAAAAAGTTTTGGGGAAACTGTACCATGACAATGACCATTAGTTGTCAAGGCATTAACTCAATAAAAAAAAAAGAAGTAAAAAGTTTAAAAAGAAATAATTTCAAAAATAGTCTAACGAGTTTAATGAACAGTCTTGAGAACAGTCTCGAAATTTTTTATTGAATATATTTTGAAAACTTTTTAAAAAGTTTCTTAGATAATTTTTTTACAAGAAAAAAGTATAATAAAAAGTTACGTGATAGTTTTTTGCTGTGTCGGATCAAACCTATTTTTAATTCAAAGTTTTAAAATTTTATTTACATGTAATAAAAAAATAAATACAGTAGAACCTGCCTAATTCGAACTTCGTTAATTCGAAATCTTCTTTAATTCGAATTTTTATTCTGGTCCCTAGCATTTCCTATATAAGTAATGTTAAAAAGTCGTGGATAATTCGAATTATATTTTGGATAATTCGAACTTTTCTACAAGTTAAAAATGCCAATTTCATGCTGGAAATTTCCGCTAAAAGAGGTATAGTATTCTTTTCTGTTCTAATGTGCCACTTGTTTCAAGGCCATTGTATATTGTACCCGTACCTGTCACCTCAATTCTAGCCCATCTGGCACGCCCCTTCAGTTGAGATGCGTTGGCGTTGCAATTGCAATCACCGCAAATCACGTCAAGTCACTTCTAATTGAGTAAAGATGTCGCATGGTAATACGAAAACATACAAAACTTTAACGTTATCGGAAAAAATAGCGACAATTAGAGAAGTAGAAAAGGGGACGAAGAAAAAATCTGAGATTGCCAGGGACTTTGGAATTTCTCCTAATACATTATCCACCTACTTGAAAAATAAAGAAAAAATTCTCAACAGTGAAAGTGAGTGCGGTAAAGATCGAAAAAGGTTAAGGGAGCCAGAAAATCCAAATTTAGACAGTTGTGTGTTAACAAGCTAGGGATAAGAAGATTCCCGTGAGTGGTTCCCTTATAAGAAGCAAAGCTGAACAATTAGCTATTGAAATGAGGAAAAACAATTTTAAGGCGAGTACGGGGTGGCTCGACGGCTTTAAAGAACGCAACAAAATTTCTTTCAAATCCATTTGTGGAGAAAGTAAGACCATTAATTAGCAAGAAGCCAACTAGTGGAAAAAAAATTTGGAAGAGATGATTCAGGGTATAGATGAAATAGATATCTTTAATGTTGACGAGACGGGTCTCTTTTTTAAATGCACTCCTGACAAAACGCTAGCATTCAAAAATGAAAAATGTCACGGAGGAAAACTAAGTAAAGAAAGAGTAACTCTCCTAATTGGTGCAAACGGATCAGAAAGACTGCCTCTACTGATGATTGGCAAGTCGGCTAATCCGCGTTGTTTTAAGAACGTCAAGTCAAAACCAGTGGAATATGTGAGCAGCGCAAGAGCTTGGATGACTAGTGATCTTTTCGAGAACTGGCTGAAAAAATTAGACAAAAAATTCATAAAAGAAAAAAGAAAAGTTATTTTGTTTATTGACAATTGTACGGCACACACCACTATCCCACTGATGGAAAATGTAAAAGTTATTTTTTTTTTCTGCTAACATGACTTCAGTTCTCCAGCCTATGGACCAGGGTGTCATAAAAAATTTTAAACATTTTTACAGACGTTTTTTGTGAGACGTGTGAGGCCGAAGCAACACACCATATTACGCAACTTAAACGGTACTTTGAAAGTAAAAATGATGTAAGTCACTCTATTTTTAGTTCACTGAACATCTTAGAATCGTTTGTCATTACCGAGACGTTCAATTCTAAAAAGCAGCTAAAAATTTTGGATTTCTTTAGAAAAAATTAGTCTATTTTCATTAATTGTAACAAATATGTATTCTTGTTTTCAATAAATTTTTTGAGACAAAATGTGTTATTTTTTTAATGATGTGTTCTCACTGGGAATTTTTTATCTGCCGATTATTTCGACTAAGATTTGGCCAAAAATACCAATGAGAAAACCTGCAAATGATAAAAATCGACAATAATTGACCATTTGTTATAGCTTGCAAATGCTTTAATTGGTATTCTAGCCTAATTTTGTTGGCCCATTTTTTTCGGTTGACAAAATTTGGGCAAAAATAGTTACGAAAACATCTGCAAGCGATAAAAATGGTCAACTATTATTGATTTTTATCATTTGTATATGTTTTTGTAGGCATCTTTGTTTTTTGTGGATATATTTTTAATTTGAATTTTTGGATAATTCTGCAAACGATAAAATATTTCGATATCTCTGCAGAAAACATCTGCAAGCGATAAAAATGGTCAACTATTGTTGATTTTTATCGTTTGCAGATGTTTTTGTAGGCATCTTTGTTTTTTGTAGATATATTTTTAATTCGAATTTTTGGATAATTCGAATTTTTTTAACGGCCCCTTGAGGTTCGAATTATCAACTATATATTATAAATATTTCACTGTACTACTTGAAATTTCCATACCTTTTTAAGTTTTAAAATTCAAAATTGAACAATTTAATATATTAATAATAAAGATTTTATTGTGAAAAAAAAATATACAAAAAAAATAAGTTGCAAATCAATGAAGTTGAAATTTTATTAATGGTGGATAAGTTAAATAGTTTTGTTGGTACTCCCTTCCCACTTCTTCCTAACTCTATCTTCCATGATATAGTTTTTAAGCCTACACAGACTTAGTTTGAGTTTATGCAGTCACCCTGTACATGAGTGTTTTGAAGTATAATAACCATGACCAAATCATCCATTTGAAATGTCCTTTTATATGTGTCTACATTCTTTGCCCAAAAGTACAGAAAATAAGGTTTTTGGTATTAAAAACATTTTTCTGTAATTAAAGCTGTAATTTGGATCTTTAAAAATAAATGAAAAATTGCTACATATACTGTACATTTCTCTATATGGAAACAGATATTAAATTTAAATTAAACAGTGTATGTAAACTGGAGAGTTTTGAATAATACAGTAATGGACACATTTATCTCATTAACTATAGTCACTTCACTCTGCTTAGGAATTATGTTGTCCTAATCATTATAGGCACATACTACTCACTATTAATAACTCAAGTAAACTTACTGATGTGAAGTTTTTTAACATCTTTGAAAAAAGAAAAAATAAGTGGAATTGTACACACATTAATTTTAATTAAAGTCCATTTGTAAATAAAAACCCATAAACAATTATAAAATTTCAAAAATAAAAATATATAAACCTTTCTTTTATTGTTCCAATTGGCTCAGTTTTATTTTGTTAATAAACAATGTATAAATAATTGTTTACTTTAAGTTACAATCAATATTGGCTATAAGCATGTATGCTTGGTGGTCTAGTGACTTACAGTCACTTCTACTTGAAATCATAATTTGATCAATGTAATACAAAAATAATTACTAAATTTACTAGACAGTTAGGACTGAGTTCAGTGCACAAGAGACACAAAAAAACAGTTTATTTGGCCCATAAACTAATTGAACACAGAGTTGATTCTAAAAGAAAAAGTTAAAGTAAATACAGATTTGATAGACCTTACATGTTAAGTATATAAAAGAAATGGCATGGGCTAAAATATTTATAAGAATGGTTAAACTCATAAATACTTTTTTATTTTATCAACCTGCATGGACACAAGCACACCAACAGAACTACAAATTTGATTTTTCATTCAGTTTGTTAGGAATGCATAAAAAATAAGCAGAAAATAGGGTAAATAAAGAAAATCTCCCCCTTGTACTAGATTGAGTTTGAGAGTATGTACCATGCTCCATATTATAGGTATGTAATAAACTATATTATTGGTTTAACATGTTCATACTGTGTGCTTAGTTTCACCTTCTGTCTTACTTAGTGAATTTGTGTGAAACTTATAGGATTGTACTAATTTCATAATATCAAAAATAAATAACTAACAAAATAATTATTATTTTTGCAGAAATTTGTCTACAAATTATATCATAAATATATTACATAATAATCAAATATAAAGAAATACATTTAAATATTAATCTTAACTTCTAAAATATTCCCTTAAATACTTACCTAATAATTCTAAAGCAAAAAATGTGAGTAAGAGAGGCACTTCTATTACATGCCTTTTAAAAGCCATTTTTATTCTAAAACACAAATGAATGAGTCAATTTTAATATAACACAAATAAATATAGACATTATTTCATTATTTGTAATTTTATATGCACTTCCTATTATGCAAAGATAAGATAACATTACTTTTACTATATTTTCAATGAAAGATGACTTTTATGTAATGAGATACTATGTTGCATTACAGAAAAAACAAATGAAACATTTACAATTATTTGTTTTATTTCATGCCCTTCAGAAAATTGTCTATCTGCTAGAGAATGGGGATTTTTATTACTGAAGGTCAACTAACTAAAAAATTTACACAAAGACAATATGTACTTACCCTAAAATATAATATTTCTAGTTGTACTGGATATATTAAATAATTAAAATATCTTGTCCTTAAATAAACATTTAATCAAACTTTGACTAGAAAATGTAGTTTTAATGGATTAAATTTATATATTATGTACACCATAGGTATGTCTAACAACTGTACTGTCTCATTAATGCATATTGTTTTTTGTAATTATTATTCCATAATAAAGACAGCATACTGAATCATAATCATATTATCTATTAATTCTAGTTTCCAGGATTGTTCTTTTAAATGTTTTGTTTTGAATAAAACCATCACAACAAACAAAGCCAAGGTCAGTTTGACATTTACGTCAAAAGGCGGTCAAAAATGTTTAATCATACAGGAACATGGGAAATTTAAACAGATTATTGATATTTTCTAGGGATTCAAAATTTTAAGAAAACTACAATAAAGGCCGTATAACATATTAGTTTTTAAATATCTTATTGCTTTGAATTGCGTATGTATCATTTGTAATGTAAATTTCAACACTGCGAAACACCAATATTTCATTCTGTCAAACCCATTTAAAGCTAACTGTGAAAACCAAATGTGAAAATCGTCCACACTATGCATTTTCTTGTATCATTTCTGATATAGAAAGTTATTTATGTTTTCTTGTATCATTTCTTGTACGTACATTTGTGCTCTGTATGACACCCATCGAGCAAAAAGATAAAAGAGGGAATGTAAAGGTAGTGGGGACAAAAAGTTTGTTAGACAGGAAGTGCTATCTTGAGAGGCCACTTTAAACAAGGAAAGACAGTCTCTTTCCTTGTTTAAGAAGTCAAATTTAGTTTGGTTATGTTATTGTTTGTCCCAACTGTCACATGAAATTTTATTTATATTGAAGTTTTTTACCAATTATGTCACTTTTTAGACTAGTATCGTTGATATTTAATTAAAACTTTCTTTTCTGAAAAATATTTTACAGGTATTGTTAACAAGTGTTGGAAAATTTAAATTTAGCGCCTTTGCATTTCCGGATATGTCCGCCATCAGAGGCCACTTTTTTGGTCTCCTTTTCATAACGATTAGATTCCCTCTTTTATCTTTCTGCCATCGAGCAATAAGACAAAAGAGGGAATCTAATCCTTATGAAAAGGAGACCAAAAAAGTGGCCTCTGATGGCGGACATATCCGGAAATGCGAATGCGCCAAATTTAAATTTTCCGACACTTATCAAAAGTAGCTATATAATATTTCGCAGAATGTGTCTTAGGCGAGAAAGTTTTAATTAATTATTAATGATAAGAGTCTAAAATGCGACACAATTGTTAAAAAACTTCAATATAAATAAGATTTCATGTGACATTTGGGACAAACAATAACATAACCCAACTAAATTTGATGTCAAACAAGGAGAGAGACTCTCTTTCCTTGTTTAATGTGGCCTCTAAAGATCGCACTTCCTGTCTAACAATATGTTTGCCCCCACTACCTTTACATTCCCTCTATTGTCTTTTTGCTCGATGATGACACCACAGAATAATAAACAATCAGAATGCCCACTCTCAGATGCCGCCTTTGAAGTTTTTCAGCACGCGCGCCATGTTTTAGAAGGAAAGACATAACACAGACATATGATTTTTGAGGTTATGTAATTGTTTATATTTTTGTTTAATTATATTATATTTATGTTATTATATTTAACAATGTTAATATAATTGTAAAGTATGTCTATGATTGCCGTAAGGTAATTAAACCGGGTTAATTTTCTATGCACACCACATAAACAACACTGGTTCCCTCTAAAACATGGCGGATAGTCTGCGCTAAGGAAATGGGCGTACTTAATTTTCCATGGAGAGGGGCATTCTGATTGTTTATTATTCTGTGATGACACTATGCAAGTTCTTTTACCGAAAATTGTATGTGATTCGGCACATGATTGGTCGAAATTTTGACACCTATAAGAATAGAACTCATATTTTATAGAACTGCATGGAACTGCAGAGTTGCAATACCCTGAGGACCCCAATCCCAGATCACAGACCACTAATTACTGTGGTAGGTGATCTGTGATCCAGATGCTACTGATTATTTTTTAAAATACTGTGGTCCAAAAATGAAAGAAACAAAATGTCCCAATATTAAAACTAAATTGGAAACTACAATTTTTGAAGTTATTCAACAGACTGTTAAGTCACCGAACCTGTTGTTCGTTGGTTTGGTTAAGTCATGATAAGAAATGTCGAATTTAGCTACTAACTGTCAAATGTGTCACCAATTGTCACCTCACAATCAAGGTCATACACAAATTGTCAATATCATATTTGATTTAATCATATGTAAGAATTTTTTAAACACTATTGAAGATGAATTTTTGATAAGAGATGTAAATAAAAATCGTAAGCATAAAATCAAATATGCTCACAGCTTATCTTTATCTCCATTACTATTACTGTTATCAAAATAATTTTATTAGGAGCAATTAACAGTGAAATCCAAAATATTGATTGCTAGTATCGGGATAACAAATCTTTAAAATATTTTAAATATAGTGCCATGGGAGCTAATAGTAGTAAAAAGTTAGCAGCAAAATGTCCCTTCTTATCCAAAGATGAGCAACTGATTGTTAGTAATTCTTTCAAACTTGCCAGTAAAAATTCAGAAAAAATCAAAGAGGAAGAGCTGACTGTAAGTACACATTTACTAAATTACAGTGATGCTGTAAAAGCATTTTCGTAACATATACACTACAGTAAATATACTTATATCCCACTTATTTTTAGCAAAGGGTGTTAAAAAATTTTATAAAGGCCTTTTAAGTGATTGGAACATGTAGGACTGAACTGAAAAGTGCATGTGGAATTTTGCCATATGAAATAGCGGATGAATATTTATGTTATATCATAAGTTATATCATTTAAAATCACATGCACTAGTAAATTACACAAATTGTTTAAACAAATAACATTTTGATCTTATATAATTTAGTCAACTATTTCTCTGTATTTGATTTTTATTTTAGTATTTAAGAAATAATATATGTAAATACTTTTAAATCATTAGGTGGCCAAGCAACTAGTTACTTGTAAATGTATGAAAATATTTGAATTTAGTGTCAATTCACAGTCAATTGAAACATTGTTGAATATGTACATACTATTGAAATTATACATAAAACAGGCTAGATCTTTTGTGCATCAAACCAACACTCCACTTGCTTTTCAAAGGCCTTTTGGCTGATTTTTGATATAATTATTTTACAAAGATTTCAGATATACTTACCTATACTCAGATATACTTACCTGTATCCTATCTATAGGCTTTGAAGGCCCTTATCCAAAATTCAGATTGATTTGAACATATACACTAATTTTTGCAACTCATCTCTAAGTAATCTAATCTGATTTATTCAAATTTTATTAATCATGTATTTGTATATTTTCTTAAAGGTATATATTCTTAAAATATTAGTTGACATATTTGAGTATCTATGATTTTATTATTTATATCATCATCAACATAACCATAGCTGTTTAATATTCTTAAAGTATGACAATGTCAAGCACCATATAGTAATTAGTGATGAGAAGGTCATGAATGAACTGTTCACAAAGATCTGATCTTTTCAAAGACCCGTGATTGATATAATCACATTCTGTCATCCTACCATTTTAATGACCCTATGAATCATGCCTATGAATGACGCTGTCTCTAGTGTTTACGAAATAACTGTGTGGTTGTGACACATTGCTCAGTCAAATCAAATTAATGCGTAAACCTCTAACCGTAAAGGATCGTTCTAACACTTATTGCCAATCTCTATGAATGGGTCCTGCATTATCATTAATTCATACACTCTCAGAAAAATTTATAAACATATCAATATTAAACTCTACACACTTGACCTTTACACAACAAATTTAATGAGTCATTCATAAGAACGGATCTTTATGAATGGGTCATTTTAATGATTGACCTGGAAGACTCGAGCTACCAAAACGAACCAGGTTATCCCATCACCAATAGTAATCCTCTTTTTTAAGTTGGGTTGTTCATCTTTAATTTATTTATTTCTCAATTCTTATGTTTTTGCAAAGATGGCTATGTGTTTCCATTTTTTCTGTTTGTATATTTGTCATACAGCTCGTTATTTTCATTATTTTTTGGTTCTCTTCAGAAGTTTAAAAACTTCAAATTACGTTTTTCTCGAAACTTTGTTTTCCTGTCCGGTAGGGAAGATTTTTCAAGAAGGAATCAATCGATTTTACTAAAACTTTGCACAGCTCATGTTTATAGTATTGATTCGTAATTTAATGAAGGGATTGAAAACAAAAAAAGTTTAAAGTTTTTAAATAAACTTGAATTCTTATAGTTTTTAAAACATTTTTTTCAAGTTGACATATTGAAAATCCCTTTGTCACACCACATTACTATAAGATGAATATAACTCTAGTAATATTGCTCTAATTTACTTCAAATTTGCTGTGAACTCTACTTTCATATGGAATAAAAAAAATTAATGGATTTTTTGAAAACATAAGAACTATGTAACCCCTTTATATAAAATGCACAATGAAGAAATCAGATGGAACAAATATAAAAGAAAATTAATTTACCATATATTTATTGAGATAAAAACAGCATTATGCTGATCATGAATATGCTTTACAATTGTTTAAAATAACAAAACTAAATCTCAATTCTGCATAAATGATAATCAATAAATATTACTTAAATGTGATTTATGTTGAATTGAATTGCTACTGCATTATTCTTACATGTTAAATGGAATTGATGTTTTGTTGAATTGCTACTAAGTTCTTACATTTTATATGAAACTGCTATTATGTTACATGTTAGATAGAATTGCAACAAAGTTTCAGAAAAAAACTAAATACAAAAGATTATTACAGCCATAAGTTTTTAAACTGAGAATACATATATGTTAAATCTCTATAACTCTAGTAATATTGCTCTAATTTACTTCAAATTTGCTGTGAACTCTACTTTCATACGGAATAAAAAAATTCAATGGATTTTTTGAAAATATAAGAACTATGTAACCCCTTTATATAAAATGCACAATGAAGAAATCAGATGGGACAAATATAAAAGAGAATTAATTTACCACATATTTATTGAGATAAAAACAGCAAGCTCAACTTGAATATGCTTTACAATTGTTTACAATACAAAACTAAATCTCAATTCTGCATAAATGATAATCAATAAATATTAAATGTGATTTATGTTAAATTGAATTGCTACTGCATTATTCTTACATGTTAAATGGAATTGATGTTATGTTGAATTGCTACTAAGTTCTTACATTTTATATGAAACTGCTATTATGTTCTTACATATTAGATAGAATTGCAACAAAGTTTCAGAAAAAAACTGAATACAAAAGATTATTGCGGCCATGACCAATTACATTGGAAAACAAAATATTGTAACCAAGAAAGGGCTACTTAAATATTTCAAGATTGGACCCTAATTCCTACTGTTTACTAGAAAATTCGGTATATACACATTGACAAGATGTCTGTCTCCCTGTTCAAACTCCTGTATTTCATATTCACTTATATTACTTTATTTGCCAAGATAAATTATTAACAATTAATAATGAATATCTTACGTTTACTCCGAAAGAATTTTCAGAAAAGCACTTTCTGAAAAACAAGAAGGAATACTTGTGAACGGCGAAGTCATCAATAATTTGCGATATGCGGACGATACAGTACTCCTAGCTTCTAGTCAAGAAGATCTGCAAACACTACTTGATAGTGTCGTTGAGAGTTGTAGGGAGGCAGGTCTGGATCCGGCGAAATTAGATCCAGAATAGAGCAGGCTAGAGCTGCTTTTAGAAGGATGTCCAAGGTGTTATGTAACAGAGACCTAAAATTGGCATTAAGGATCCGCCTACTTCGCTGCTACGTGTTCTCGGTCTTACTTTATGCTGTCGAGTCCTGGACTGTGAATAAAATCGATCTAAATCGTCTTGAGGCTTTCGAAATGTGGTGCTATAGAAGAATTTTAAAAGTTTCCTGGGTGGAGAAGATTTGTAACTCCACAATACTAGAACGTCTCAGCAAGACTACTGAGATCATAAAAAGCATCAAGCAGAGAATGCTGGAATATTTCGGACATGTAATGAGAGGTCCCAAATATAGATTGCTACAAAACATCATGCAAGGAAAAATAGCAGGCAAACGCAGTCCAGGACGAAGAAGAACCTCATGGTTGAAGAACTTGCGAGACTGGTATGGTGTAGATACAAGCATGCTATTTAGGGTGGCAGTGAATAAAATTAAAATAGCTATGATGGTAACCAACGTTCTGAAAGGACATGGTACATGAAGAAGAAGAATGAATATCTTAGTACTTCATTAACTTTGTCTTATTCTTGTCTTATCTCATATCATAACTATTAAAAAATCTGCTGTATACAGTTACTAAAGTGCTTTATTTACATATATTATTGCAAATAAGTTTTAAAATGGTTAGTGATATAAAGAATCTTATAAGGTGAAAATTACTTTTATTCTTATTATAGCAAATATATATTATTATGGAATGTTTCAATTAATATGGATATCATTTTATTTCTATCATTAAATGAGTAAATGTATGTTACCTCAGAAAAATAAGCCTTTTCATTTTACTCTCTGGTATGACCAGACATCCTAGGCTTATTAATAATGCATTTTCTACATAACAGTAGTATGTTTTGTATTAAAAGTAGTAGTAACATGTGTTTTGATCTTTTTGTAGCTCATTCTGTTTCTTCATCCTTTGTTAAAGCTTTTGATGACTTCATCTATGAGTAAATTGACAAGTATATAGCTTAATGAGTGTATGTCTATAGGTTCTGTAACTTTTACAACTATTCTCACTTCCATTTTGTTATTTTGGTAAATACTTTCAGTGGTTTTTATGATATCCAAGGAACTTCTCGATTATACAAAAGATGAGTCTTTGATATAACTTTGTCTAATGCTTTCTTCAAGTCTATTAGAAATAGAAAATCTGATCTATTATACTCTGTAATTTGCTCTATGACTAACACTGCATCTGTATCCACTACAAAACCTTGTGGTTTATCTGCTAAGTTTTTCCTCTGATTTATTCTTTCATCACAATTTTAATTGTAAGTTTTAGGTAACCATTGATACCTAAGTTGATACCTACATAATTTACAAGATTCTTTTATTTTAGACTTTTTTGAAAGGCAGGATTAGTTTGTTACTAATGTATCATTTGTAACCCTGTATACATTTTTTTAGATAGTCAATCCATGTATCCTTTTCTATATGTTTTGGGTATATTAGTTCCTTTATCTCAGTTTTTTACCTCTCATGAAGTGTAATAAACCATAAAAGTCATACTCCATTCCTTTTGAAAAACCTGCCCAGTGATAATTTTTTATTCTTATTACCAGAACATGTGTTTCATTACTTATTGTCTTGTCAGTACAGATCATCAAGAAATTATCTTTACCTTTCCTTTTTTGTTTGTCTCGTGAAGTGCACATTTATATACATTATTTTGAGAGTTCTTCAGTTATTTTTAATTCTTCCATATTTCTGACTGATTCAAAGTATGTTTCTTTGTTTCCATTGATGCTTCACTCTCTTTCTTGCATTGGTCATTGTCATTGAATTTTTCATGTTTTAAACCATAATTCTCTTCTTATGAGTTTTTTGGGAATATAGTATATCAGTAGAATACCAACCTGGCTGTAGACTCTACCCAAAAGGACTGTAAGCAGTGCTTAAAGCCTAAAACTTATGTTAACTGTGCCAATGTTATAGTGTCATCTAGCAGCATAGATGGAACTATAATATTGACATTATTTATTAGATTTTTCAGTTTTTTTTAATACTTTCATGTGTTCACTGTAATTCCCTTCTAGTTTCATTCATAATTTGTTACATTTTGTTTCTTGAAAAATGACATATTGGTCCAGTCTTCATCAGTTGTTTTAATCTAATTATCTCATTTACATTTAAATAAATGATTTTACTTTCACCCATGTATTTTTATATTTCAGTCCTAATTTCATGGTCTTTCATGGACTTTCTCTTCTTTAGTTTATACATGTTCGATAGTTTATTTTCTTTTTCATTTCTAATTTATCTTAGCACATTATAAATGACATATTGAATAAAGTGTAATATGATGACAGTGATTATTTAGCAGTTATTTAGTAAACCATAGGGTGATTTGGATAATCTACTTTACATTCCTTTTAAGACTACAACAAAGCATATATTTGTGTTGCTATAATAATTTGGAACACACTTTATATGACTAACCTTTTTCTAGTAGTAAGAAGTATTTCATTATAATAACTTTATTTATATTTTAGAAAATATGGGGCTCACAAGTAGATCCAAGACTGCTGCAATATCTAAACAATTATTTATTCGGTTTAGGAGATCTAAGACAGACTACAGTTGAACTGGAAAAGTTTGCTGAATTATTTGTATTTTGTACAAGAGGAACCGTTGATGAAAAAGTAAAAGTACTTTTAACTTCACTCGGAAATAATGATAGTGAGAGTAGTGACATACCTTATATGTTGGTAAAAGAGGTAAGTCTAAATAAGCTTCTTTTTTTTTCATTTAAGTGCTTTTAGTTGTATGTGCCCATTTTTGGCTTGTACTAAAGTAATCTCATAATAATTGTCCCATGCATCTAGTTACATTAAACAAGAGGTATGTTTGTTATTTGGGATCAAATTACAAATGCTGTGTAAATCTAAATACTCTCCCTTAAGATCAATTATTTTCAATCTGTGGATATTGAGTGTTTTATCATTGTTTAGACATTTTTTGACATTTTAAATTTTGCGTTCAAGGTACACATGATATTTCTATTCTATGTAAATATACACATATTTTATTATATTTTTTTCCTTTGTTGTGAGCTATGCCGATACTTTCTACCTTTATTTTACTATTAACTCGCATTAATCTTTTTCTTGTTTTTTAAAACTTTCTAAACATTTGGCATTCCTTTCCTCAGATAGCTTAGCTCTAGAAACCTCAAGAGTCTTCTAACAGTATTGCCACGAATGTGTCGCATTCCTCCTATATTGATTATTTATCCACTTTTCCTTTGGTCTACCTTTTGATTTTATTTGATATTGTTGCTTCGATTATCATCTTAGCTACATTGTTTTGGTTTTTACTTATTGTGTTTCTCTACCAAAATTATTAAAAAATGTGACTGGGGTACTTAATGGACTGTAACTGACAGTGACTGTCTAGATGGGTTTAGAGTGGATATACATGTATAAATGACTAAAAGTAGCTAATGTATGTACACGTGTGTAAATGTGTATTAGAATGAGGTGTATTAAGCATTGAGATGCTATGTTTTCTCTGTGTTGTTGTACGGGGCGGAGGCATGGACGCTTACAGACGCCACTATTAAAAAACTTGAAGCATTTGAGATGTGGCTTTATAGAAGAATGCTGAGAATATCATGGACAGCAAAGATCACGAACAAGGAAGTTCTAGGAAAAATGAAGAAGGAACCAGAGATTGTGTTTACGATCAAACGCATAAAAGTGCAATATCTGGGACACGTTATGAGAAATCAGCACCGTTACTCCCTGCTACAGTCTATATTGCAAGGAAAAGTCAAAGGTAAGCGAGGACCCGGTAGAAGGAGAATATCATGGCTGCGGAATTTAAGAACATGGTTTAAGAAAACCTCAACGGAGCTGTTTCGAGCCGCAGCGAGCAAGGTTATGATTGCCAATATGATTTCCAACATCCGAAACGGATAGGAACCAGAAGAAGAAGAAGAAGTATTAAGCATTTATAGTACAGATGTATCAGAGTAAGAAATACCAATTGATTTTTAATGAGTATTAAAAATTAAAATCCAGTTGAACTGAAAATGATGTATACTATAATTTTGAATTGAATATTGAATAATAAGCGTTATCATCATCACCCAGCTCTTTGCGTCCACTGCTGGACATAGGCCTCTCTCATTGTTTTCCATTATGATATATCTTGAGCACTTTTCATCAAATTCCTTGACATTTTCTTGAGATTGTCAGTCCAACGAGTAGGGGGTCATCCTCTACTTCTTTTGTCTAATCTAGGCCTCCACTCAAGCAATCTCTTCATCCACCTTTCATCACTGATGACGCTTATGGCGGCGTGTCCGGCTCAGTTCCATTTCAGTGTGTCAATTCAGGAAATTACATCAGTAATTCCTGTTCGTCGTCTTAAGTCTTCATTTCTAACTCAGTCACGAAGTAATATACTCAGCATTGACCTTTTCATTTTCCTCTGAGCTATTTTCAGCGTTTTAGAAGTTGTAGCTATCAATGTCAAAGTTTCGGCACCATAGGTCATACCAGGCAACACACATTGATCAAATTTTTTACGTTTTAAATAAAGTGGTGTATCGCTTTTAAAAATGTCTTTGGATTTTTCATAGGCTGTCCATACTAGGTTTATTCTTATTTGTAGTTCGCATGTTGGGTTGTCTCTTGTGATATTTATTTCGTGTCCAAGGTATATGCATTTTTTTCACCTGCTCTACTTTGTTGTCCCCAATATTGATACTTCCGCTAGGTACTATATTATAGATTTGTCATGAATTTTGTTTTGAAGATGTTTATTTTTGTTTTGGAGATGTTTTGAAATATAAAAATAAGTGTTATAGGTTTATAGGTATTGATAAAAACCAGAAGATTATAATTAATTTACTGAAAATTATTTCAAACAAGAGTAAAAGGTGGTTGAGAAATTAAAGCTATAATATGATAAATTAAAAATATTAATAGAAGGGGAATTGTTCAATTAATTGGACATGAAGCGGGGTCATATACATAGAAGGGGGATCGTTTTTTAATTAAATTCTATAAGATGATAAATTAAAAATATTATAGGAAACAAACTTGTAAACGATCAGGAAAGGAAGGGGTGGGAATTAAAAAATTGTGGTATAAGAGTAATTTGGGGTTTGATGTATAAGAGGAGACATGTTCAATTAATTGGACATGAGGAGTCGATATAGAGTTAGAAGGGGGGAATTTTTTAATTGATAAATAATGTGTGTTGATGGTCTTGAACTCTAAAGATGATAATGAGGATATAGAATGAAATGATGAACAATAAATGAATAGACAAAAGAGTATATAGGTAATGTTTAAATAAAAAGAATTATAAAATATCTTTGTTTCAGTATGTCGAAAGTATAGTTGCCTCTTATATGAAGATTCAAAAGCTAAGTAACAATAAACAGTACAAAACATGGTTTTCAAAGGGTTGTTTTACATTACCTCAAAATATTCAACGGTTAGCCGAAAGTTTAACACATGAATTAGCAACTGGAGAAATTATCACCAGACGAACTTTAGAAACGTGGCTACAAGGCGCCACTCTGTTAGGACAACTTCTACTATATGTGTCAATGTATTTGTTTAGTATTACTCATAAGGAAAAGGGAGGAGTAGCTACTGAAAAAACAGGTATGTATTATAATAATTTTTACTAAGACTAAGATCGTTCAGATGAAGACGAAGAAAAAGATTAATACTACAATGAATTGGAAAGCACATATCTGCAGCGTTAGGAGAAAAAACCCAAGTTCAAGACTTAAACTTTTGATGAGAGTAAAAACAAATTTCCCATATTTTAATCTCGTTTGTGGATTACAATTATAAATAAACTAGTAATTTTGTCCGTCGCATGCGACGGGAGGTCCAATCTATAGCCATCTACAGTCACTTGTTAAATTTGAAAATAATAAACTTCTTGCATGTAAACCAAGTAAATATAAAGTATTTCTCCTTCCCAATGATTTATATACGTCACGATCTCAATCACAATGAACTATTTTACACCAATCTCAAGTTCTTTTTTGGTGTGAAGTTATTATCAAGCTTTTCTAGAAGTAATTTAAGATTGTAGCTTGTAGCATTGTAGATTCTCATTCCTTCTTCGCCAATCAATGCCAACAATTGTGCTTATTGCGTGTCTTGTGACTTCTTGAAAATCTCCGTAGCTACGAGGTTTCCAAAATTTCCAGTTTTCACTCAGGTTACCCTCTCTTTTATTCGAGGAACACCTCAAAAATCCATTTTTCACTGTTTAAATAGTTTTTATTTATTTATTTTTATGTATTTATTATAATGGTCGTTATCTCATTCGAAAGTTTCTTCCTTTCTTTTCAATAGTTGATTGTCAAGATACGTTCAAACTATATATGTGCAGCTGTTGGAGAAATAAGCACCATGTAAAAAGTTATGAGGAGTCAGCTAAATCTTTTAAACTATGAAGTTTCTATGTATAACATATTATATAGCATTTTTAATGTATTTTTAGCCGTATTTTACGATGGGACTAGTTGTAAATGAAAATATTAAAATTTTAAAATTTATTTATAAAAAATTGTTTATTTAAAATTGGTACCACTTTTTGAGAAAGGGGACCTACATATTCGTATTTAGCGAAAAATTTTACATAACTTAAAATAGTTTTCAACTATCCACCCTTCCATGCATACAGAAAGGTATCCAGCTGCCAGACTATTATTACTGATTTAAGAAAACTCTCCGTTTCACCAAAAATGTTCTATATGCCTTCTTCACATGTACTGTACCTTTCGTCCAGTACTCTTTAAAGACGGTAGCTCTTTTATCAAGGCTTAAAAAAGTCTTACAGTTATTCCTGCAGTTTGTCAACGGTGTGTATTTGCGTTGTTCAACTATTTTTCCTTCTGTTGTCGTATACCTTTTGCCTTAATTGTTTGCTCTTGCTTCTCTCTTTCTTAATTGCCCTATTATGCTTTCTGTGAACAAAAACTGTTGTTGTTTTGATAGGTTATAATGACACATAAGAACATAACGTTGTTCTGCATCTTCCCCCTCCACCACCCATAGTCCAGATATACACTACGACTGATATAGGAGTAGACGTTGCGCGCTAGCAGATTTCAAATATTGTACCGAGAGCTCAGTTGATCGAGAACCGCTTAGCTGTATACGTGGATAGTTTTACTATAGAAGCGATTCGCGACGTTGACAAGTTTGGTGTCAAATCTAAATTTTTAATATTTTTTATTAATAGTGATTTTGAATATTATAATTGTTCATTTAATATAAAAATTAATCAACAGTGTAAAGTGAAGCGAAAGATTTTGAATGCTCAAGCTCGTGAAATAATACACTCTGTGTTAAAATTCGCTCAACGAGAAGCAGCTGCTGATAAATGTATTATTGACTTTAAAAAAGTACAAGAGCGTGTGGCCAGTATGACAGGTGATTTGGTAAATAATCTAATAAAAAGAATGGTAAATAATCTGAGATTTTTGGTTGCATTTTCAGGAGTTTCTATATGTAGCATCAAAAATATTGCGAAGGAGGGCCGGGAAATTAGTATAATAAGTTTATTTATATTGTCATAGATTGATTAGTTCTAGAAACACTAAAGATTTTATTGAGTAAATTCACGAAACAAAATAAAATAGCTAAAAGTTAAAACATCGTACGTCTTTTATAATTAAGTTCATTGTGTAATGCAGAGGATGGAAGTTACCATATTCAAAACCAAAACGTGGCAACACTGTTATTTAAGCCCCAAACGAATTCCGTATCTCTCCTCCGATTTACGCGCAGCTCACGTCTATTCTTATATCAGTTGTATTGTACAACTATACAAAACAAAATATTCCAAAACTACAATTTATGCCATTCAGTTAATTTGTAAGTGAATTAATTTCTAACATGTTCTTAATATCTATAAATCTCCTTCAATACGGTTTTGGTCAAGATAGATCCATTACACTTAGACAATTAAGACCACTGAAAGAATGTGCAACTTCATGTGATACAAGACACTTAAGACAACTTATGGAATAGTATGGAACATGAAAATAGCGTGGATCTGTGGTGTTTTGAGTCTTTATAGTTTATTTTTACCAAACTGTTTTATCTCGTGGTAACTTAAGCTGTTATCAGGCCAATTTTCTCACAGTTAGAAAAGACAAAGACTTAAATGTTTAATACCGATAGAAAGGGCAAAAGTCGCCTTATTATGTTTTCACCCAACGCCGCAGATATGTCAGTTGTCCCAGAAGTCACATTAAAATAATAATCTGAAACTTCAATTTAAAAACTGGAGGGGAGGAAATTTATCTACGCGCATCAGTAAACAGTCTTCACAATAACACAAATTTGAATGAGAATCGAGTAGTTAGCTTTGCAGCAGCTGAGAGCATGGTCGTGGGAAGCACGTGTTGTCCACACAAAAATATGTATGATAACTTTGACCTCTGCGAAAGGCTTAAGAAATAACACAGTCGATTGTGTACTTATAGATGCTAGACAGTACTCCAACCTAATGCAAAGCCGTACGTACGAGGAGCCAATATTCACTCAGGCAACTTTCTAATTGGCACAAAGATTCGAACAAACTTTATCTGGTAATAAAGACGTGATATATTGGATAAATATAGGAAGACTAAGATAAGCAGGACATCTAGAAAGATCACAGTAGAACAACCCTCCTAGACGAATCCTCATGTCACAGCCGGTGAGAAGTAGAAGAGTAGACCAAAACTTACATGGAAGATGGTATAAACAAAGGTGCAGTAAAATAACAACAGTTGACAATAGATAAAACTGACTGGCTAAATAAAAATAGAAGGTCGAAGCTCTACTATAGAGCTGTAGCACCATTGATGATGATCAACATCATTGTTCTCATTGTCTTTATCTCTATGCGGGGTTGACGAAATTTTTAGATAGTAATTATTATACATTTGTAACATTTATTATTATTGTAAATTATTTTAGGATCATCGATACCAACGGAAGAACATGACAGCGCCATAGAAAAAGAAAAGGACCGAAGTCTAGTTCCGTTCTGTCGCGGTTTAGACCTGATGCCTTCTTATCCAAGTATACTGGATTTAAATCAGATAGTTTTTATTAATGCGCACTTACCTCAACAATATCAACTAGAGTGGAGGTTTCTCTTTAGTTCACAAATTCACGGAGAATCCTTTTCAACACTTATAGGTAAGATTCCTAGAATAAAAAACGGCGCGTGGCACTTGGGGAGTGCCGATCGAAATGAATACTTCTTATAGCGCGTTATTACTAAAGGTAAAACCATATATAAAGACCTATACGTAATTAAGCGATGATTAGTGGACCTCAAAGTGACATTAAAATTTAATTCCAATCTTTTAAAAAGTAAATGACTTCATTACCTTTATTTTATGTTCAGTAATAATGTTGGATTTTGTTCTATTAAAGGCAAATGAAATGAATATAAGATTTATATACAGATTGTGAAAAGAAGCGAGGCGGTCGAATATTTCGCGAAATGAACATCGGATCGAAAAACTAAAAAGCAGGTTTTCAATATTTTTCAAAAATCTACCGAATGTTACCAAACACGAACCCCAAACACACCCCCTAGACCGAGAGGGGGGAAACTTTGAAATCTTAAATGGGAATCCCCAGTTTTTATTGCATTTGGATTCCTTATAAAAAAACATAAGTAACTTTTAGAAGAAACATTTTTCGAATTGTTGATAAAGGGTGCTATAATTGGAAAAAAACGATTTTTCATGATACCCTAGGAAAATATGGAGAACTAGAAAAATCTAATATCTCGAGAAAGACACTTTCAAATGAAAAACAAAAAAAACGTTTTTAATATTTTTCAAATATCTATCGAATGGCACTCACACGACCCCGCACTTCCACCCCACGGATGGGTCAGAGGACAACTTTAAAAAATATTAAAATGGAAAACTAAAGTTTTTATTGCAGATTAGGATTCTACATGAAAAAGTAAACAAGTTTTATCTGAATTATTTTTCCAACTTGCGATAGATGGCGCTGTAATCACAAAATTATATAGATGCCATCTCTGCGGCGAAGGTCGACAATCATCATAATTATTCGTACTTTTGACACGGCTACTCTGAAAAGTTCATTTGATGTACATCCGTACCACTCTCTCAGGTTGCGCAGCCATGACATTCTACGCCTCACTATGCTTCTCTTTCCTTGAATCTTTTCCTGCATAATTAGTTGGAGCAAGTTGTATTTCTCTCCACGTGTAATATGTCCGAGATATTCTAATTTTCTTGTTTTAATTTTTTTTTAAATTTCTACTTTATTCATCCTTCTCAGAACCTCTTTGTTTGTGACGTGTTCTGTCCACGATATTTTCAGAATTCTTCTATACACCCACAGCTCGAATGATTCAAGTTTTTTCACTGATGTCGCATTCAAGGTCCAACATTCTGTTCCATAAAATAAAGTCGAAAAAACATAGCACCTCGCCAACCTAACTCTTAGTTCCAATTTTAAATCTCTTGTACATAGCACTCTTCTCATTTTGTTGAAATTTGCTCTAGCCTTTTCTATTCTGATTTTGATTCTCCTGAATGTAATCATTAGTGTAGTTAATCATTGTTCCCAGATATGCATATTTGTCCACTTGTTCGACGTTGGTTCCGTTTATTAGAAGATTCTCGTTACTTCTTTGAGTTTTCGATATTCTCATAAATTTTGTCTTCTTAACACTCATTGTTAGACCATAACTCTTTTCCATACTCCGCTATTCTGGTCACCAGTCTCTGAATATCTTCAATATTTTTGGCTAAGATCACAGTGTCGTCTGCATATCTAATGTTGTTAATGGGAACTCCATTTACCTTTATTCCAGCTGTTTCACCCTCAAGAGCGTTTTTAGGATCTCTTCAGAGTAAGTATTAAAAATAATTGGCGACAATACGGATCCCTGTCTCACTCCACCTCTAATTTCACAATATCTTCTGGCAGCTGTTCGTTAACACGTACTTTTCCTCGCTGTTTATATTATAAATTTGTTATGATCCTGAGGTCGTGGTAGTAAATCTTCTTTGATTTTAGAACATTCAATAATTGTTTATGTCGTATTTTATCGAATGCTTTATTATAGTCAATAAAACACGCGTATATATCTTGATTGACGTCCAGGTATTTTTAGTTGCGTTCGGTTAATACATATCTGATATCTCGATTAGCTCTGTTGGCTCCGCAAGCGTTCGGTAAATACATCTACCTGCTCCGTCTGATCTGCTCCGCGTTCGTTAATTGTCAGAGGGAGCGAAAAGATTCGATCTGTTCCCTCGAAGTTGAGAAGCAGATTAGACGGATTTTTCAGTTGTCATTTGTCACATTTGTTTACAGTGTTCAAAGTAATTGTTATTTTTTAAATAAATCCAGAAATGAGCGAAGTTGCAGTTGGAAGTATCTTGTACATATGCAATATGTGCGATCATAACTGTGGGGATCCACAGTTGATGATCCATCACATGAACTTGAACCATTCATTTTCAAGTAAGTTTCATTCCCATGTGTATTTGATTTTCTTTTATTTTTATCCATAATTCGCAAATAAATTTATTGGCCTTTGTTATTTTGTAGATGAAAGTGACGCCCTTAAAGCAGTTACTGCATATACAGTCAAAGAGGTATCGGAAGCCAATACTGCACCTTCCTCATCTGCTTCTGCGACACAATTAGATAATATAGATAAAAAAGTGTGGACTAGGGAAGCAACTCTTATATTTATTCAGTTGGTTGAGGAAAATGACGAAAATTTCCAAAAATCAATTAAAAAGCATATTTGGGCAAAGATAGCCAGTTCTTTGAACAAGCAAATGAACGTGGGTGTAACATGGCAACAATGCGACACCAAATGGAAGTCTTTAAAAAAAACGTATAAGGATATTAAAGATTACAACGCAACATCGGGGAAAAATAGAAGAAAATGGGAGTTTTATAATGAAATGAACAACATTTTATTCAATAAACCGGAAATTTGTGCACCAGCTACATGCAGTAGTAATGCTGGCCTTGTGATTAATGAAGACAAGGAAAACCAGAAATCTCCTCCATCCAGTAAGGAAAAACGTGAAAGCACTCCATCAACATCAGGGAGTGAAACCTTTGAGTCCTCTTTTTCAAAAAAAAGGAAACTAGCAGACAATGCAGTAGAACGTCGCCATAAGGAAAAAATTCAAAGGCAGGATAGATTTCTCAATTGTTTCGAGGATTTTGTAAATACTTACAAAAGCAAAACTAATTAGTAGTTGTAGTGCTACTTTTTTTCACTGATTTCAGTATTATTTATTTATATTTGAATATTTTTTTTTGCAGTTGATCTTATTAAGTATGGAAGGTACATATTATTTCTTTTTCTTGACCAAAAGTATTGTTAATTTATTTTCTGTTTTCATTTTATATTTTTGTAGTTTATTTATTTTATTAACCATTAGTAGTACATATTATTTATCTTTTTTGTCTTGACTGAAACTATTGTTAATTTATTTTCTGTTTTTAGTTTATATATTTGGAGTTTATCTCCTGATTGAATAAAACGTACATATTATTTATTTACTGTTTGTTTTATAGTTTTGGAGTTCCGACTGATTAAGTATTAGTAGTATGTTATTTATTTTCCTAGATTGGTTTTGTTTGACAGAATAAATATAAATTTATAAAACAAAGACATTTTATTTTTTATTTATTAAAGGAATCTCTGGTCTACAATTAATGAATGCATTATAAAATTTCGTTTATGTATTCCTGCCTCATTGTTTGGCTGTACAATATTTTCTGCCTCTTCATTGACATTTTCTCTCTCCTCTTCTAATTCATGCCTGGCAACAAGTTCTTCAGGTGAATCTCCCCTCAAAATGCAAATATTGTGCAAAATGCAACCTGAGACAATAAGAAGTGCGATTAAATCCACTTTTATTGTCTCTAACGATTTCAAACGACGAAACCGTCCTTTCAAATACGCAAATGAATGTTCAATCACAACACGACATTGTGACAGTTTTAGATTGTAATTTTTTTCATAAATATTCAGTCCCCCAATGTCTTTGAAACCTATTAGTATTTTGGAGGACAATTTATATGCGAGATCTCCAATCATATGCATATTGGTCGGAATTTCGGCTGAACCATCATTTATTCTCAGACTCAAATCCGATTTAGTATATAGCCTCCAATCATGCATGGATCCTGCCTCTCCTGCATATACATCCAAAAACAACATTTTATCATCGCACACGCCTTGTAATAGTACTGAATGATAATTTTTTCTATTACAGTACGAGTTTGGGTGATTTTTTGGTTTTAATATTCTTATATGGGAACCATCTATTGCTCCAATAATTCCTACAAGTATATTTAATAAAAAAAATTATTCTTGTTTTGAAGAATTTTTTGCAAACCTGGAAAACCATTAATATATTGAAATCGTTCACTGATTTGACGAGCACGATTCCTGTTAGGCCAGGATATAATTTTGTATGCTGTATTCACTTTAAGTAAGTTCCTACAGGTTCTATACAATACATCCCAACATGTACTTTTGCTTATCCCAAACCTATCAGCAACTGATCTGAAAATCACAATACAATTTTAATAAACATGTAACAATGGTGTTTGTTATCTTATACCTAAAGGATTCTAAATTTGAGAGACACCAAATAGTAACCATTGTTTGTTTTTCTACAGTAATGGAAGGATGTCCTCTGGTTCTTCATTATGAGGAAGCTGAATATCGTGAAGCTTCTGCAAAAGATCTTCAAATGTATCGGGATTAATCCTAAAATGCATTTTAAACTGCCCATCACTAAAACGAGGAACAGTCTCTTCTGCAAAGTTATCAACTTTTGGCAAAACTTTACTATCATCAGTTTCATCGTCACTATCATCAAAAATTAATTCCTGAACCATTTTAATGGACATTAAAACGGTTTCCTCAGCAGCCATGTTCATGTTCATCAGAAAATTTCAAAGAAATAGGTACCTTAAAACAAACATTACATGAGTCTTCAAACTTTCAGAAACCGATTTGTATCTTGATTCTACGATATTTATATGATAAATTACCAAACAAAAATTCATCGCAGATAGAAGTGTTTGTACTCTCGACAAAATTGATTTAAGTTTACATTTCCGTACTGGTAAATCTTGTAATTAAAACTAATCAACTGTGATAATCCCTAAATTTTTTTATCCTAGCTATTCCTTGGATGGGTCAGATAATTCTAATGGAATCATTAATAATTACCAATATCTCTTCACTTCTGTTTTTACAGACTGAATATTCAAAATTATCGAAAAATATAAATGATGATCCAACACACCGAAAACAAAAGAACGCCAAAAATTTAAAAACAGGTCAAGTTATTTATTTAAGGATTGTCGACAATGACAAATGACATTTCAACGAGCGTTCGTTAAATAACTTTCACTCGATTAGATCTGTGATCACGTGATATCAAATCTGCATCTGCTCGCTCCGCTCCGTTTTTCTAAAACCGAACACAACTTTTGTATCGGTATATTAAGTACAAAAAGAGCTTCACGCGTTCCCAGGTCTTTACGAAAACGAAAATGTCTATCATTAACGTCTATGTCCAGTTTGTGATATATTCGGTTATGGGTGACTTTTAATAGTAACTTTAGCACATTAGACATCAAGCTGCACAATGCATCAATGGTGCGGTAATCTCTGCACTCTCTTGCGTTTTATTTTTGGGGAGACTAATAAAAATCGACGTTAATCACTCTTTGGGTAATACGCCTGAACTATAAATTTGGTTCAAGAGTGTCACTAAAACATCAATGTGCTTCTCATCTACAATTTTTAGGATCTCTATAGGAAGTATGTCAGGTCCAGGGCTTTTCCCACTCTTCATTGTTTTAATGCGTGCTATATTTCTTCTTTTGTAATATATGGACCTATTTCTTCCGACGTAAGTTCTATATGCTCCAGATCTTCTCTTTCATCATCAAACAATTCGTCGATATATTCTGCCCATCTTTGTACTTTGTCGTCCGTATGTGTTATAAGTAGTCCCGTGTCTATCCAGAATTGCACGAGTGGGATTTTGTTTTTTTATTCCTGCCAGTTGTTTAACTTTCTTGTGAAGATTAAGCAGATTATATTTATTTTGAAGGTCTTCGAATTCTTTGTATTTCTCTTCAAAGTATTTTTCTTTTGCCTGCTTTTTAAATTGTCTCCGTTATTCCATTATATTGAGTATCTCGTGATTCATCCATTCTTCTTTTCTCCTTGCGGAAGTCTTTAGTATTTCTTTACAGGGTTCCAGTAGACAATGTTTTAGTCGATCCCAGTATTCGTCAATATCATTGGTGTTTGTGTTCAATCTGTTGCAGTTCACATTCAGTTCATGTTGGAGGCATTCTTTTACTTTAGGTTTTTTAAGTTTTCTTGTGTCTATTGTACGAATTCTTTGATGTCTTTTAATATTTTTAAGGGTGAGTTTAATATTGGCTATAAGTGGATTGTGATCTGAGGCCACGTCTAATCCAGGATATGCTTTCACGGCTTTAACAGCATTACGGTATCTTTCATTGATCATAATGTAGTCTATCTGGTTCCTGACTACTTTCTCCGATGTATCTGCGGGCGATCGCCATGTATACAGTCGTCTGTTTGGTAACTTGAAAAATGTGTTTGTAATAATTAAGTTTTGCTCTTGACAGAATTATAACAGACGGGCTCCTCTCTCGTTTCGATTTCCCAGACCATAGTGTCGTATACTTTTTCCGCTTGTCTATTTTCAATCTTTGCATTGAGATCACCTAGGACTATTGTGATTTCTCTTGTTTTCCTTATTCTAAGTGCCTCTTCAATATCTCGGTAAAATAATTCCACTTTTTCTTTGTCGGCTTCGCCGTAGGTACAGTTTAGATGTCTGCAAACTAATTTTTATGGTACTGAAAACAATTTTTTAAGAATGGTTGCCCCCAATCCCAGGGTGTAGGGTTATGTGTGTTTTTATTCGCTAGAATTTTTGAAAGATATTAAATATGTATTTTTCAGTTTTTCATTTGGAAGTGTATTCCTGAGATATTAAATCTTTAGCATAATTTTCCTGAGGTATAAGGATAAATAGGTTTTTTCTGATTGTAGCGCCATCTATCAACAATTCGAAAAACTTTATCGAATAAAAGTTATATTTACATGTTTTTTTTGTTTGTGCATGTGTGTGTATCATAGTCAATCAACAAATGTACATCTCGGGATTGGCAAGCGCAGTATTTTAATGCGTGTAGACATGCGAACAGGCGCGATGTTAAAAGTCCATTTTTAACTTATAAATCCTGATTCATCGTATATGATTGGTCCCCTTATATTTTCTATATTTTACAACCGGTCACTAGAAGAATATAATAACATGAATTATTTCAGGTAGGATAGTTAATCAGGGACCATCAGTGCTTGTAGTGGAAGATTCCAACGGTTACACGTTTGGAGGATTCGCTCCCGCAAATTGGGAACTTAATGCCAAATTCTTTGGTGACGATAGCAGTTTCGTCTTTACGTTAGCTCCAAGAATGCGAGTGTTTACATCTACAGGTTATAACCAGAACTTCCAATATCTTAATTTACATCAGCAGACGCTTCCAAACGGCATGGTAAGATATTTTTGTGTAAAAATCAAATGAATTCAACTTAGACATTGTGATGTCCTCTCGTAGGAGTCACTATCCGGGTAGCTTTTGGACAGTCAGAGACAGAGTTCAAAATAAAAATAAAACTTTATTGTCTTCCTTAAATTAAATTGACAAAAATCTTATGTACATATTTACAATTTGGTTTAGTCTTCTCAGTACCTGGCCTATTTATTCAAATTAAGTTTGACCTTGTCGAATGAAATTAGTCTTATCGGCAAGCGAGTGTGTTTTTGAAATTTTACGTGAACGTTGTATCGACTTAATAACAGCGGACGATAGGTACAAAGAAAGGAAAGGAACTCAACACGTCCCTTAAGTGATTCGGGTTAATAGGACACTCCTCGACAGTCTCAACACGACTGCTTCGGAGTACGGGTAATTAAGAGCTCAACACGCTCTTCGGGTAGCGGCGGTATGGAACGGAACAACTTGTGAACTCAACACGTCCACAAGCCGGGGTAGGGAAGAAGAGAACCTTCAGTCAACACCTGTCGATTCTGCCTCTATGAGGAAATGTTGCGGTTTATATAGCGGAGCTTGGTAATTAGTTTTGCCCTTTCTACTGTCGATACACTCCTACTTCATGGGTTGGTTCGCGCGCACGCTGGTTTAACGGTGATGGCTTGGACTCATCGTTACAACATACTTAACGTAATTGCTGCATATATTGGTTGTATATATACAGTAATTTTCGTGGAAGAATCGTGGCGTTGTGTTAAATAAATTCTGTTTTTACCTGAGTATAGGAGATGGGATAATAAAGAACGGGTAAATCAACATATAATTTTTGAAGCGAAGCTTCTATACCGGCGTTATATTAATTTTTCTATAGTAAAATGTTGAGGCGATCCTTGCGAAATAGTTGGAACAGTCCATTTATTCGACGAGGAGAGTGCGTTATAAATCGTATTTGTTGTATAAAGTACGTTAATATATAACGTTGTTCATAAATTCAAATCCTATTTATTTATAATTTATTATTAATTTAATATGTAGTCTGTCTTCACGACATCTCTGTAGTGTTTGCTAACGACAGCCAACTAGCAAAGAAGGAAACTGTAACGGAGCCACTGGAAACTCCCGTGACAGTGTTGCTAATCTCACAACATATTTTTAGTTTGTAACCGAAACCGTGTATTATAAATTTTATCAAAATCGTAAGTGATAAAAATTTAGTACAATAAATACTAAAGGAGCAGTTTGTCCATAAAATTTGTAAATCTGGTTGCGTTAGGAGCAAACATAATTAATGGGGATTTGATCATATTCTTGTTGCGTTACAAAGTTTTGGAATTTTTTATGTTTTTTAATATTTTGGTATGTCTCTTAGAAGTTAATTTTGTACAATAAGTGTTTTGTACAAGAGAAGCAGTGGACAACATTTCTTGTTTTATATGTGAAGATTATTTAAAATGACAGTAAAGACAAAATTATACTTCTTAAACGTGGGATTGATACATTAAAAAATAAGTTTGAAATAAAGGATGATAGACACACCTTGCTTTCCGGTTATGATAGAATTAAAGTTCACAACGAATGTAGCAGACAAAAATATGTACTAAAAAGACCAGGCACATTCTCATTTCATTTTAATCCTGCAAATGTCAGTGCATAGAAGTATACTCCAATCAAGAAAAGGCTTCGAAAATCAACTGAGACTTTTTTTATCATAAAACCAAATGTTTTATTTGCAACTGTAAAAGTGGCTGTAAAAAACTTTGCAGTTGTAGAAAGTTTGAATTCGTTTGTTTAGCTGCATGTGGTAGTTGTCAAACTGGTAATTGTACAAATTATAAAAAAGAAGATATACTTTCTGATGATAAAGATGTTACAAGTATATCAGATGATACCTGATATCAAGAAATTCAAAATACTGAATTTATAAATGACTCCATTGCAAATGTGGTATATTTTTGACTTGAGTATGTTGATGATTTGATAATATGTATTTTCAAAAGAGGAGAACAATATTAGTTTTATAAAAACTGAGTTAAGAAAAAATTTAAAATTAGTGTATTTCAAATAAAAGTTTGAAATTAGTATTTTTCGGTTTACAGGCAAATAAAATTGAAAATAAAGTTTATATTTCACCAAAAAGAATTAATTAAGACAATCTTTCACATATTTAATATGAGTAATTGTAAAATATCAGATATTCCAATGCAACTTTAATTTGACAATTGGTAAAGATAAAAATTTGGAAATCCTAGATTACCCTATAAGGAATTTATTTGATTGTCTTGATGCTCGGCTCCAGGCCAGATTTAAGTTTTTGTGTGTCATATTTCAGTCAGTTTCAATTATATTTACACTGAAGAAAATTTTAAAAATATTTTGAAATATTTGAAATCTACAGAAAATTATGTTTTTAGATTTGTTAAAGGGAGAAAATAATATTAGTAGTTATGTCATAAAGCTTAATAATGTTATTCTTGGAAAACTTAAAAGTATAGTATCACTATCTAGTACAGAGACGGAATATATGACATTATCTTCATGTATTATAGAAAAATTTTGTTCTTTAGTCACAGATTTTTAAAACTATGTATGATCTTGTCTATGAAGATGACCGATCATGTATTAAGATGGCCTCTACATTGTAATAGAAAAGAACCAAACATGTTGATGTTAGACATCATTTTATTGTATGGTTTGGAAAAAGAAGTCATTGCTTTAAAGCATGTACAGTCTGATCACCAATAAGCTGACATTGTTACAAAGTCATTGTTAAAAGCCAAATTTACTTTTGTTTGAAGAGGTTGAAAAAGTAACAAAAAGTGTTTTAGATGATCTTATTTTCGAAAATATTTTTGCAATTCCTTATATGGGAGTGACTAACCATTAAACAGAAGGATGGCTCTTTATTATGTCTTGTGTTACATTCTCCTGTTATTTTGTCCATTCGTTATTAAAGAAATTGTCGTCTGCATATTCTGGACTATTATTAATATTAAATTTAATAGTATTAAGTATATAAAATATTGTGATTGTGTTTTAGGCAATGGGCGGTCAACATGGATATTGGGGTCTTTGGATCGACAGCGAATATGGTAGTGGTCAAAGTAGTCCCACGTGTACAACATACAGAAGCTACAATCAACTCTCCCATGCCAAAGAATTTACCTTTCGACATATGGAAGTCTGGGGAATCGGACAACCGCCTCCAACGCCTCAAGAAAAAGGGGAGCGAATCACAGGGGCCGGAATGAGCGTTCTTGATGGAAATTTGGAGAGCAAAGCCATGTTGAAAATGGCCGGTAAAACACTGCACAGTGAAGGAATAGTAGAACCTCAGCCAGAATAGTCAAAGCGAAACTTGCCTTTTCACACGTCTTAACCACAAAGAGTGATAACTTATTTTAAACTAACTGAAATTATACGGGAAATCTCTATTTTAAAAATATCAATTTAAGTACACAGATTTTTGTGATAGTTATATTCATAATATAAACTTAGGAATTCGGTATACACTTTAACACGGACGAAAAATACATAAATGTTTTATGACCGTATTCACCAACTACAAATACCATAGGGAATAACGAAATATTTCCTCCTGATTATCTGTCCGAGAGTAGACTGTTTACGGTCTTAGCTCATTCCCGTATGAATCAATAAGTGAGCGCAAGAGCCTATTTCGTACCATACTTTACACATCCTCTCGCCGACTCGATTAAATCGTTCGCAAATTCCAATTCGAAGTTTCAAGTTTCGAAAAATTTTTGGTTGTATCGAGTCTGCCAGCCCCCTGTGTCATCGAGACGATTTGTTGAAAATTTTAAGGATATATTTTAACAATTTGACAACTTTTAGAGTATTAATTAGTTGCATTTATATTTTCTATCTTACATTTTGTCCATCACTAGATAAGCAACGTTTGTATCACTATACGTATAGGGAATTCAATGTGTTAGAGAGAGAAGTACCTTTTAGGTCTGTAAGAATGAGAACATATATATATATATATATATATATATATATATATATATATATATATATATATATATATATTACGTCGACGGAATCTACATTACTTACTGTCACAGTTCAACTATTATTCGCTAGTCGCCGCCAGTAATTCGTCATTTTTTAAATCTAAATTAATTTAAATTTACATAAAACGTGACCTAATATGTGACATTTGACATAAAATGTTACATTTGACATAAAATGTGACAATATGTAACTTTTGATATATAATATGAAAGATAAAACGTAACATATGTGACGTTTGGCACGAGAAGCTAATTAACCCAAGCGGTGCCGGCGTTGCCAGATTTTCTTTAATCATATTTTACCTTATTTCTATAAGAGTATTTAATTTGTTAATAGCAAGGAATACATACTTTATTGAAAACAATACTTTACTTAATAAATTTTTATATTGACGGTTACGATGTTATTCCCTTACTAGAAGGAAAAGGTCAATATTTTCCTGATTTTTGGGTTAAACCAATTCTAGGTTTGACTCTAGAATTAATTATAATTTTTTTTATTATTTTTAAGCAACTGTGCAAAATTTAATTGGTATAATAAATTACAACATTCGTACATAGAAACTATACAACATTTCTGTTTAAGAAATTTTAATTTGCAAGTGTCAACATAATAAAAATTCGACATTTTAGAAAATGTATATATATTTAATATTGATACTCATGTCGTGATGGTGACAAAGATTTAAATATTAAAAATGATTCTTCATTTGAACTCCAGAACTCCACTGAGTTCTTGGTTAGAAGATCTCTTAAGACTGGGGTTTCCTTGCACTCTATTCTTTTTTATGGAAAAAAATCTGTTTTGCGAATCAATATGCCTTTTTAGTTTCTAGAATTCTAAAAGGACCAGAAATAAATGTTTAATACACTCGGAGAGAATTTTGTAAGTAAGAGAAAAATAAGAAACATTTTTGTATGATCATAATGATTTTATTGCCATTCTACAAGAACGATGTTATTTTCAATATCGACTTTTATTGTTCTAGTGCATGAATTGCTCATCTTATGTGGTCCTTGACTCTTTTGTAATATAGATCTTTGTTGTTTTTGTTGGGACATAACCTATAAAGAATAAATCTATGAATATTCAATTATTCAGTTAAATATTTTAACATATTTGATTTACTTCTAATACAATTAAAATAAGGTATTTCTCCAGTGAATCCCATTTCACATTGCCCTGTGGTTGTGACTGACAGAAGGCCAACCCATCACCATTTTGCAACGTTGGCATCACTTGGGCTAATTAGCCTCTCGTCATTTGGCGAATTACTGGCGACGACTAGCGGATAATACTTAAACTATGACAGTCAGTAATGTAGATTCCTTCGACGTAATGTATATATCGTTCCCACTCTTACAAAACTTAAGAGGTACTTATATCTCTAACACGTTAATACCTATACCTGTAACACGAACGTTGCTTAACTACTTCCATCTCAGACATTACAAAATAATTTGTTAATTTGAAGTAACAATTGTTGTATTAGTGACGGACACACATGACAGATGTCGATTATTTTTGAAATTCGGTTTAACGGATGCTGTTACCACAAAAAAATCCGATCAGTACCGGGTTTACCGGATTATTCGTGTCACACATCCCTTGCGGAAAATATATCTTAATTTCTGTCTTTTTATATTGTTGAGAGATCCCTTTATAAAAGAAAAAAATATTTTATCCGGTAGTAATTTTCCAGTTAAACTAGGAATCCATTTACATTATGCACAATTTGATATATGTGAAAAAAACATTAATAAAACACATTGATAACAACAAAGTTATTTTTCTAAAACGTGTATTGGTGAATAGGAGCATAAAATAATTAAGACTCATAGTACTACTAAGTTACATCGAAATTCATGAGATTTGTCAAGAAAATTTTTCCAGAAAAGTATTTTCCAAAGTAAAAAATGTTTTTACTGGTCGTACTGAATGGCAAAATACATTTTTTTTAATTCTATTGGCAAAAAACTGCTTTTGCGCATAGAAAATAAGAAACATTGAATTAAAGTATTGACAGAGGACACGAAAAGCATGAAACATAACAGATGATTGCAGAAAAATATATTCACATTTGACATACGAACCATTCACTACACAATTCGATCAAGACCGTAAAAAATGGATGAACTGTGAAGTAATGTACGTGTAGCTTTAGTACAAACACAAAAAAATGAATATAAAATGTCGTGATACAACCAAGTAATTGGACTGGAAGAATGGAATAAATTAATGTTTGTAGTGAACTGCTTGTATGTTAATGTATGACATGAAAGCTCTTACGTTGATGTACCCACCTTTAAATCTGATATAATCTGCGCTACTGCTATAATATTGTTAGTAAACCCTTCGAAGTAATTTATCAAGCTGTAGTGATCGAAAATTTTGGGTTGCATAAAAACTTTTGGGTTTTACATGGAAACTTGTATGTTCCTTATGACACCTTTTGGATTTTCATGTCAAAACGTTTGGTTCAGTGTGGAAAAGTTTATGTTCCGTATGGAAACTTTTGTGTTTCCAAGGAAATTAAAAACTTAAAAACTACGGAACCACAGGATATACGGAACCACAGGATAATCCTGTGGTTCCGTATAGAAATGTTCAGATCCCTTATGAAAATTTTTGAAATTCTATCTGGAAATGGTTTTCTTCTGTTTGAAAATTTTTGGATATGCTGACAAAACTCTTGGGTTCCATCTGAATACGTATGGATGTCTTAATATTACATCTTGTTTAATAAGTTGGGATCCTAATAGAAAAAATCTTAATTCTATATACAATTTTCGGGTTCCTTAAGAAAACGTTTGGGTTGCGTATAGTAACTTTAATATTCTTTATGGAACTTTTTAAGTTTCATTTAAAAGCTTTTGTATACCTTATGTTAACTTTTGAATACCTATGAAAATTGGAAGCCATCTGGAAACTTTTTGGTACCTCAAGAAACCTTTTGTATAGAAGCTGTTATAAAATAATATACTAATAGTTCCATATAGAAACTTTATGAGAACTTTTGGGTTCCATGTGGAAATCGTTTATTTTCTATCGAAAATTTGACACGTTTAGGTTCCCTGTAGAAACTTTTGGGTAGCATATGGAAACTTTCGATTTCCAGGATCTGTTTGAGTATCAGGAAACTTTTTGTATGTAGCAACTTTTCAAATGGGTGTGAAACCATGTGGTTCTGTATGGAAACTTTTAGGTTCTGTATGTAAACTATTTTTGTTACATCGTAGAAAATGTTCGATTCTTGGAAAATGGAAACGTTTAATTTGGTAATGGAAGCTTTTAGGTTCTGTATGAACATTTTTGGAAGTTTGGCTGTTTGGAAGTTTTCTTATGGATAATACATTGTATTTGAAAGTAAAAAACGGCAACTAGGGATTAATCACGACAGACAACAATGCAAAATATTCGTTATTGGTAATTTCAATACAGCAACAGTATCCGATCCGCCAGTCCATTAATTAAAGTAAAACTACTCACGTTTAAACGATAACACTTACTGTAAAATGCAGTTTGCTATTCCGTATGTCTAGTTAATATCTGATTTATTAGACCTGGTAAGGTTTCTGTTTATTAGACCTGATTGTACTAGAATCAAAGTATCAGTAAAAAAGTTGAGTATAATATGTAAATGACTGTATGATTTTCTAAAAGAATAGTACTATATTAAGGCTGAGAATAAAATCTTCAAAAAATATTTATTTCTAGATACTTTCAAAAATGGTATATCTACAACATTAAAAAATGATTAAAACTAATTTTTTAATCATCTTTACTTAAACAATAACTATTTATATTTGACATATCATAACACGATATAGAAACAACTATATCGTGTTATGTCATGTACTTATTACAAATACCTACTTTGTGTGTGTGTGTACGACATTCATGAGATTAACGACAAATCTACAGTGTTGCCAGTTGTCGGTGGCGATCCGAATAAGTTTCCCGTATTTACCGTATTATTATATCTATATCCGTCAGGTCAATTAACAGAGATCTTTATACTATCATAGTTAAAATCAATTATAATTATGCATTTATCACGTTATCATTAATTTATATATCATTTTTCACGCCATTATAATAGCTTTTTCTATATTTTAGTTTTTGGATATCTCATTGTGCACTGATGGTTTTTAGCCCTCTGTTTTTGCTTCTGTGTATATATTTAATCTCATTTTCAATATAATTCGTTGTTTACTTATTTAAATATATGCATTTTGAACTGTTATTCTGTTACATAATCACGTTTAAAGACTTGTTTTCAATTATTGTAGTATTTATCATTAAACTATTTATAATCCGTTCCAAAAAGTGTGCATTAGATTAAATTTTGCATGATTCACGCACTTCTTTTTCTTTTACGTTAGTAGTGACGTCAAATGCAAGACAAGATGTGTAACGGGATTTTTTATATACAGATGAACTGATCAGTGTAAGCTTCACTACCAAAACAACATCTCAGATTGTTTATCTGCGTGTTCTCAGTTTTAAAATTTATTTTGAGAATACATAAATCCAAATCTCATTAGTGGTTAAGTAAAACAACTTAACCGTAATATATTTATTATTTATACAAAAACAAACTGAAACGAGACTTTTTTGTACAATCATGTAATGATGCAAACGAAAATAGTCAAATAATTGTGCAAAAGCGATCCACGAACGGTCTTTTTTAAGTTATAATCGACAGGACGGATTGAATACGCATGTCAAAAATAGCTATTGAGCTAATCGTGAGAGTGCAAACAATATTGTGCAAAAAACTATCCACGGATTGTCTTTTTTAGTTGAAACCGAAAATGGGATGGAGAAATGGAATGAGACCAATGTTTGGCTACGAAGGTCGATTTCAAGCAAATAATGGGACAAAGAACATTTTACGAACGGTCTTTTTTCAGTTGGAACCGAAAATAGGACGGACGAATGTGCATATC